TATAGATAGGATAGGACATCCTAAACATGGCAACTGAATTCCAACAAAATTTGTAGGTGATATGGTATGAGATTTCATAAGGCTGAAAATCAAGCAATATTTTCCAAAGTTTTAATAAGAAGGAAACTCTCAAATAATTTAGTTCATAAAGGTTTGTATATTTTACATGACAAGAATAAAATACGAGAGTATTTACCTCATGTATATATCAATTAAGGTATTTTAGATAAAAAAAATGCCTTAATTAATGTAGCAAATAAGGTATTTTTTCTCTTAAATGCCTTAGTTGATAATTTGTCAATTAAATCATTTCAATGAAAAAAATACTTTAATTTATGATCAATTAAGATATTTTTTCTTTGATTAATTAAGACGTTTCTTCTTTGAAGCACTTTAATTGTAACATAAATCATAAAAAAGTAAATTTAAAAAAAAAATTATACAAAGTCATTTAGGATTGTTTTTTAAAAAAGTAATGGATATATGATTAATTTTTATTTATATTAAATTTAAAAATAAGGTAATTTTTTTAAAAATTTTAAAATATTATATGAATAAATAAATTTTTAATTTTAAGATTTTAAATATTGTTAAAAATATAATTTTTTTATTAATCAAATTATCTTAAATCAAACATAAAAAAAAAAAAAAACTTATCATCAAATTTTCAAAAAAAAATTTATGGACCCGTCAAACCAAACGCGACGTTAAAGGAGTTGTGATTGCCTTCACTTTAAAAGAAAAATAATTATGGGAAAATGGCTGTGATCGACTTCACTGGGCCCATGAAAGTCCGATATCTAACTGGAGGTGCAGCACGATCAAAGTATTTTCATCGCATTGTCTTTTGCTATCCAAACATGTTTACGGTGAGATTAACCCCTCTAAAATCACCCACAATTGATGTCGGTTGGTCATGCATTTTTTTGGTCCAATAGTCATTGGTCATTCATTTTTTTATTCTTTAATTTTTATTATTAATACAAAAATACCCTTACAATTTTTACTTTTTTTTTATTTTTTATTTAAAAATATTGAAATAATTTTTAAATTTAATATAATAAAAAAGTATTTGATATATTATTATTATTATTCATTTATTAATTATTTATTAATAAAATTATTTTTTATATAAAAATAATTTATTAATTTAACAAGTGTTAAATAATTTAAATTTTTATTATATAAAATTTTAATTTAATGCCTTTAATGGTTTTTTTTTCATTACAATTTATTTCACCATCATGATTTTTTTTTTCATCCAAATGTATGCCACTATTGATTTTAATTTCATTATTGCAATAATAAATTTAACTTTCACTGTTACTTTTAATTTTATCAAAATCTATCTTTTCATTCAAATAGACGTTAAAATAGCAAAATTGTACCAAGCTTTGTTTAGAAGCAAGCAATAAAATTCTTTTTAAAGATGTTAATCTCATCTAAAATCAATAGGAAATCCAATTTTTTACCTTAATAAAGATGAGGATGGATATTAAATTTTAGGATGAAAATGAAAATAAATATGATTTTAAATATTTTTTTCAAGTACGGATACAGGAATAAGTATTATAGCATTGTACTTGTATTTTATATATATTTATAAATTAATAAATTAGTTTCTATTTAATAATATAAATTTTATTTTAGATTTATTTGAACTAATATAATTATATTTGAACAATACATATTTATAAAAAAAAACTTAAATGTGTAAGATAAAAAAAACTAAAAACTAAAAACAAAAATTTATTTTTTAAAAAATCATGAATACGAAGATTATTTATATCTATTAAATATTAATGAGATAAAAATGATAAATTTAAAATACTCGTTAGAAAATAAGTATAAAAATAAGTATAATATAAAAAATCGTAGATGAAAAAAAAAATCTCTCATACCTTACTCATTAACATCTTTAGCTTTTCCCTAGGTTTCTTTTTTTTTTCAACAAGTTTCATGTTTTTTAAGTAAGAAAGAATTGCTTTGCAATGTGTAACAGTGTAATTTGAATACCCATAAAAATTTTATATATCATAAAAACAAACAAATAATATAAATAAATGAGAATTTATAATTGCTCCAACGACTTCCACCTATAGTTATCTCTTCCATAATTAATACTCAATTATTTTTTACCTCTCATAATTGGTTTTTTTATAGGATTGCCTAATATTTATTAATAATTATTGAAGAAAATAAAAAGTTCAAAAATTAAAAAAAGGAAAAGTAATTCTTTTTCATGTGTAGAAATTTAGAAATTAATCATGGGAATCTTTTTCTAATATTTATAATTAAGATAATTGTATTTTGATTTCCTAAAGAAACTATTGCAAGTCAATCTTTTGCATTAGGTCTCAAATTATATCCTTTTCTCTTTTTGGACACTGTAATAACGTTTAATTATTTTTTAATATTTTAGATGAATTTACAAAAGTAGAACAATAAATATAGCCAAAAAAATGAAAAACCTTTAAGGAGGCATTTGCAATACTAAAAAATTAGAGGGTAAAAATGTAATTTTTATCAAGTTAAATATAAAAAATGATGCTTGTATTGTATTTTTTTATCAGATTGATAATTAAAAAACAAAATTCTCATTTTCATACTCAAACTTTCATTCATTTTAACACTTAGGTACTTTAATCTAACACAGTTAATTTGCTTGCATGATATTAATAACCAATAAAATTATGATATATGATATAAATATCAAGTTATCATCGCATTATCTATTATTTATATCTATATTTAAATACAAAATTAAAAAAAAATTTAAATATATTTTTTAATTCAAATTAAAAAAATTAGAGAAATATAAAAAATATAAAACATTTTTTATGTGACAATACTTGAAATGACGATGATTAGATATTTATAATACATGATATAATTTTATTCAATAGCAGTGTCACATTGAGCCGGTGGGAGCCATGGCCCTCCCCTCCCTAAGAATTTTGGAGGTTATTTATATATATAGAGTGTCATGTGAATTTTTTTAAAAATATATCTTTCAAAATAAATAAATGTTACCTTAAAATATAATTATTTTTAGTTACTTTTTGTTTATAACTTTTTAACTCATTGAATCTTAAAACAATAAAAGTATCACAATTTTTTTTCAAGTTTTAATTTTTAAACTTTAGCTTATTTAAAAATGAAAATTTTATATGAATAATGGGAAGGATCAATTTATCTTAATGTAAAACTAAAAAATTTTATACTTTTTGAACCATTAATTTTAGTTGATCTAGGGATAAAAGAGACAAGTGAAAAAGAGAAAAAAAAAATGTAAAACATTTTTGTGTAACTTGATCCCTCTTCCATGAATAATAACTTTCAAATTTAATATTTTTGTAAGTGGTAAAGATTTTTTTATATAAAATAATTTATTTATTTTTTTATAATGTCAATAAATAGACTAAACATTTTTTATTTGAGATGTAGTAATTCAAATTTTACTCGATAACGAATTATACACTAATCACTAAGTTAAATATTCATTTTTGTGTAACTTGATCTTTCTTCTATGAATGATAGCTTTCAAATTTAATATTTTTGTAAGCGGTGAAGATTTTTTTAATGTAAAATAATTTACTTATATTTTTATAGTGTCAATAAATAGACTAAACACTTTTTATTTGCGGTGAAGTAATTCAAATTCTACTTGATGAGGAATTATGCACTAATCATTAAGTTAAATATTTTAGTGTAAATAAATTTAATATTTTAACAAAAAAAGATAAAATAACAAAATATATAAATTTTTAAATAAAATTTGTGAAGTTCACAACTAAAAATGAGTTGCATGAAGACTATATCAAAATTAATATTCATACAATAATTTAAGAATTTTGATTTGATTATTTACTTGCAAATTTTAAAAACTTTAAAGTAACAATGTATTAATCTATTTATTAAGTTTTATTAATCTAATTGATTTTAATCTTTTAATTTTTTTGCATTACTTTTATTAGAAACTTTCGTTATTTCATGAAAAATTATATCTAATTAATTTGTCTTATGAAAAATACTTAAGATTAATTGAAAAGTTGACTTAATTAGTTATTTTGAATGGTAAAAAAATTTAATAATAGAGACGAATAACATGAATTGATAAAAATAAATTTTTAATTAAATATTTGTTTTTATTATAATTTATTTTTAATTTTATATATAAAACATATTCATACGTGTATGTAAATGATTGTATATTTGCATATGTACTTGGGCCCTTTAATAAAATTCTAGGTTCATTACTAATTTTATTTGATATTCATACTACGTTAATTATTTAACTTTGATAACAAAAAATATATAATACAAGAGACATTTTGCATATTAACCCTTTTTATTATAAATAAAGCATCACGTGAGTAAAGCATGAAATGAAATCCCCACAAAAATTAGCCAAAAAAAGTCTCCTAGAGAATAGATATGTTAATTTTATTCATATCTAATGAAGAATTTAATTTTTTATTTGAATGAAATGAGTATTACATTATAGAAAATTAGATGGATAATATTTTAAATTTTTATTAATAAGAGGATAGAGATAAGTAATATAATATTCATTCTATGTATAGATATATTTATACATATTTAATAAATAAATTTTTTATTAAATAATATAAATTATTATTTAAATTAATTAGAATTAATATAATTTTATTTAAAAAATATATTAAAAAATATATTAAAAAATATATTTATAAAAAATTATATAAATGTGTAAGATAAAAATAAAAAATAAAATTTTTTTTATTTTTATTTTTTTTAAAAAATTATAAATATAAAGATTACTGATATTTATAAAATATTCGTGAGGTCGAGATAGATTATAAAAATAAATTTAAATTATTTATCGGATAGAAATATAAATATGTATATAATATAAAATTTGAAAAGGGCGAATCCATCCGTTACCCTGCCCATAGAAACATAGGGGTAATTTGGGCATTTGATAATAACTAAAATCAGTATTTCTAAATGGATTTGGCCTCGTATTTTACGATTCGATGTCACCAGACACAAGTTCTTTAAAACCCTAATTTCACTTTTCTCTTTATTTTTCTTCCACATTTATCTCTCAAAATCCAAAAAAAAAAAGAAAAATCCAATTTACAAGAAACAAAAAAGAATCAATTTCCCAATCTTTCACTTATAAAACTCGTTTTTATTCGCCATTATTTTTTTAATTTTGTTTTATTTTCTCATTTTTCCTTGTTTTAGATAATTTTGTCTATGTTGAAAACTAGGGTTTGCTCCAATGGTGGGTTTTGTGTGTTGAAATTAGGGCATTTCAGATAAAATTTTCACCTACTTTCTCCTTTGAAGGAAACGTGGGTTCTCGTGGCTTCCCAAAAATATAATCCTGTGAGTAATCTATTTATTATTGGATTGTTTTTTGTTCATGATTGATTTTTGGGATGATTGTTTCGTTTCATTAGTTTCTTGATAAAGTGGCCTTTTTTTTTTTTTCTTGGTAAAGAGATTTTTCATTTTTGAAGCTAGGAAATGGGAAATTTTGGGCCGGAAAATGATTATAGTACTGTGTTTTGCCTCTTAATTTTGTTGTGTAGTGGGGCATTATGGAATTAAGATATTTTGTGGGTACCAAAATTTTATTTTCTTGCAAAAAAAGAAGGAATTTTCTTTTTGACTTCCTGAAGAAAGTTCTTTTAATAAATTTTACTCCATTATAATGGGTTTATCCTATATGATATCACATTTTAACCAATGATTACATGAATGAACTACTAGAAAGGAGAAATGTCATTTTTTTTTTTTTTTTACATCTTAGGGGGCCAGGGGAATTTGCTGTTGGTGATATTTTGTCCGGGCAAATAAGACTAAGTTCATTTATGGTGTTAGAGGTTAACTCAATGCTTTTGGTTCTTTTTTGTTTTTTTTTTTTTTCCTTTTGATATTCTCCATGAAGTTTTGTAATATTAAGGGTTCATTTATGGGGAATGATTTTCTTTGCATTGCTGCATTTATTCAAATTGCTTAAACAATTAGATATTTTGCCTTTGGCTCCATTATTGCATATGGATTATAAGTATGATTAACTTCATTTTGCAATTTAACATGTTTTCTTTGGCCTTGTTTCTATCAATCATGGTTGCTCTCTTTCTACTGCACATGTTTTACTAGAATATTTTCTTTTTGGATCTTCTGGTGAATGACTGTGTGAGGAATATGATGTTATCAAGTAGGTTTTGAAGGTGAGTTTTGGTTGGAAAAGATGTCATCAAGGTATCAAATACTTGGTGATCGACCAATTGATCAATGGAGGGTTACAGAATTGAAAGAAGAACTTAAGAGGCGGAAATTGACAACACGGGGCTTGAAAGAGGATTTGGTAAAACGTTTGGATGAAGCCCTTCGAATTGAAAGGGCAAATACTCCAGATGAAGCATATAATGGTTTTAATTCTGATCCCCAGCCTATAGTTGAGGGAGGGATTGAAAAATCTGTGCCGGTTGTTGCTGAGACAGTTAAGGATGCTGTGGATCATGGTAGTAGTGGTATTGAGAAGGGGAGTGGGGTAAAGGTTCAGGTTGACATTAATGATAGAGCAGCTGCATTGGGTCATGGAGGAGTTCAAGGAAGGGACATATTGGTGGAAGAGGAGCCCGTTATTCAAACTGCCACAGTTCAGAATGAGATAACGGTTACCAAGACTGTGGTATGTGACGTACCATTGATTGGACAAGATTTGCAGAGCTTGGGACAGGAGGAGATTGTGAATTCTAATATCCAAGTGGAGTATGAGGATCTGAAGCCCCAGGTGGAGGATAAGGATCCAAAGCCTCAGGTGGAGAGTGAGGGTCCAAAGCCCCAGGGGGAGAGTGAGGGTCCAAAGCCCCAGGTGGAGATTGAGAGTCCAAAGCTTCAGTTGGAGAATGATAATCCAAAGGCCCTGCTGGAGAGTGTGGGTTCAAAGCCTCAGCTGGAGAATGATGATCTGAAGCCCCAGCTGGAGAATGAGTGTTTAAAGGCTCCACATGAGGATGACATGCGTGACTCTTCTACTCCTAACAACCAGGTATCTGAGGTCAGCACTATTTTAGGGTTTCAAGTAAAATCTGATTCTATTTCTACTGATTCTGTGTCAATTAATGAAAAGATTGAACTAAAGGATAATATAATTGCTGATAATGTCAAATTAGACCTAGATGTTGTTAAGCTGGAGATGGTGGAACCATCATCCAGCAATGTTGTCCCAATTAGTGGTGAATCACATCCAATGGATGTTGAAGAGCCACTTGAGAACAAGGTGATTGTTGATGAGGGAGATAACAAGAATGTTACAAATGCAGACATGGCCAATAAAAATGACAGTGCGGGGATGGGGTACTCAGAAAAATTAAATTTAGATAGAAGTTCTGGTGATGACTCTATGGAGGAGGATGTGCTTGAGAGTAAACAAATTGATTCAAAATGTAGTACTGGTGAAATGGGAGAACAGAGTGAGAAAAATGAAGTGTCTATTATAAAGGATGAAGGTCCCGTTGGTGTTGTAGGAGATGGTTTATCTGCTGATAAAGAGGACGTCTTTGTGGAGAATAAGAGCTGCTCTTCTGTTCCTGCTGAGAAAAGAAAGACTCATTGTAAGTGACAGTGGCTTGCAATTGTTAATGTCCTCGTTTGCATGTCTGCATGCTTCTACTGTACTGATAGCATTTTGAAACTAAGGTGATAACATGATAGTGCTTGTACTTAACAGACATGCTTAAGACAACTTATTTAAGTTGGTTTTTTGAAATTTGCTCTGCTCCAGTTGTACTTTTGGAATGTGATGATTGATTTAATTTTTTGTATTCAATAGTCGTAGACAGTTTCGGTGCATGTCATGTGCTTTACATATTATGAGAGAGCTTTACTTGTTAAAACACTGCATTATCTGTTTTTTAAGTTAATATCTATAGTTTTTGGCTAGAAATTGCTATAATGTTCAATCCTATGCTTTTCTATTTTGGTTTTTGCCTCTGCCTGGACGATAGAATTTCTAGGTATATTTTATGACATTGAGTTTGTTCTGTTTTTGAGGAATAAATTTCAAAATTTCGCTCTTTAGTGGGAATGAAACAGGTAGTTTGCTTCTGGGTGAATGAGCAATTCTCACCAGATGAGCTGTCTTTACAGATCAGGAAGCTGTTGGGAACAATGAGCCTTCAAAAAGGCGCAAATGGAACTCTGAAAGAATAAAAGTTCCAGAGCAGCAAGGCTCTAATCTTGTACCCACCACCACACCTAAGGACACCACTCATCCTCCTGCTTTTAAACGTAACTTCTCTAGATCAGACTCCAGTGCTAGTGAAGATACACCTAAGGATCGAGTTGGTGAGTTGTCATTTCTCAGTCAACTGTAAAACTAATTCTACTGATTGTTGCTTCAACATATAGAAGGTTTCTGTTTCATCTTTCTTATTTGGCAGTTCCTCCATCACAAAAACTTCCAACCACTTCACTCAGAATTGATAATTTTCTGCGCCCTTTTACCTTGAAAGCTGTGCAAGAACTTTTAGGGAAAACTGGAACAGTTACGAGCTTCTGGATGGACCACATTAAGACCCATTGCTATGTTACTGTAAGACTTATTGCTTTGTTTCTAACTCCCATCTCTTTTGTTATTGTATAATAATTTTATCTCTCCTGATACTTTTGTTGTCTGTTGATTGATTAAGTTTTCATTTTGGCATCTGTGACTTTTGTGTGTTGGGCTAATTCAGTAGATCTAATCTACTGTATGGGGAATTACTTTTTTGATGCAGTATTTATCTGTGGAAGAAGCAATTGAGACACGAAATGCTGTTTACAACCTGCAATGGCCACCTAATGGTGGACGTCTATTGGTGGCTGACTTTGTTGATCCCCAGGAAGTTAAAATTCGGCTGGAGGCTCCACCTCAGACTCCAACTACTCCTAGGACTTCTGGTTCTACTGCTTCTCAAGCTCAGCCAACTTCTCAGCGCCATTCCTCACCTCGTCAACAGGTTTCTAGACAGCAGCTTCCACCGCCTTCTGCACTTCCACCACCACCGCCTTTGTCTAACCCACCACAGGTTAGAGAACGGCTTCCTCTGCCACCGCCACCTCCAGAGAAACTAGATCCTCCTATTGTCACTCTGGATGACCTGTTTCGCAAAACCAAAGCAACTCCTCGGATCTACTATTTGCCTCTGTCAGAAGAACAAGTTGCAGCAAAGCGAGCAGCACATGGCAGAAACACCAAGCAGTAGGGATCAGGCTATAATTTTATCCCTGGCTGCTCTTAGGATATTCTTGTCGGTTGGTCTGTATGTTAGACAATGGTAAGAAAGTATTACATAATTGCATCTTTGCAGGTCTGCAGGTGTTGCTTTTTGGAAGGAATTGTTCCAGCCATGCGGAGGGAACTTGTTCGGTGACGGATTTTGGTTTTCTGATAGCTGCTTTGGGCTGAGTTTTAAATTCTGTTTCACATTAGAATCCTTCAAACTTAAAGCTATCCTTACTAATGGATTGATACTTCTTTGTTCGAAGTTGGTTTTCCTATTGAACAATAGTCCCTACTTTTATGAAGAATCTAATCCCTACTTTTATGAAGAATCTAACTTCTTTTGGATGATGTTTTGTGCATCCCTCTGATATTATTGCCTTCTCTAATTCAATTTACTCTATGGTTTTGTTCTATGTGTAGATTCAGGTTTGGAATTATAATTCGAAGGATGGGGTAGGTTGCTGGTTTGGGCCCTGTGGAGCTATTGATCTTGATGTTCATATCCTCAAACATAAGTCATTATTATTAATTACAAATATGTAACAAATAAATAGCACATCTTACCATTTTAAAGGGAAGGAATGAATCCTCCTAAAGGCCATAATAAAACATTTATTCCCATAATAATAAATCTTTCAAAGACAACATTTAAATTAATAGAGAAATAAATAAGGAAGAACAAAAAATATATAATGCTTGAAGGATCTCATAATTTTTTTATTGCGAGTCCCCTTAAATCTGGGATTCACTATAATTATAGATTAAAAATTAAAATTTATGGTGAAATGACAGAAATTTAAATGACAAATTTAAAGAGGAAAATAAGAAAAGATTTCTCTTACTTACTGGACCATTAAGGTGATTTTGGGTTGGATCATGAGGATAATTCTTTTAGCCCAATACTCAACCTAAACAGGAAGCCACTAAAAACCCTAGAGTCGGGGATCAATATACTTGTTGGATTTGTTAGGGGAAAAGGAAACCCTCAGCAGTCGAACCCCGAAAACACCAACTAAAAATATCAACAAAAATGGTGGCCGGCAAGAAAACGGTGAATACTCTTTGTTATCTTCTTTGTTTTTTGTTGATCCATTTTCATAATGTACAAAAAGAGATTGGAATCAGCTTCTTTTTTTTTTTTTTGTTTTATTTTGGATTTAACAGAAGAAGACCCATGAAAGCATCAACAACAGGCTGGCTCTCGTTATGAAGAGTGGAAAATACACTCTTGGTTATAAAACAGTGCTTAAATCTCTTAGGACCTCCAAAGGTTCTACACTTTTTGCATTTTTCTATCTGGGTCTAATTTCCTTTTCTTTCTGTCTTTCTTAATTATTATATGAGTTGCTCTTAGATTTTAAATATGTGATTTTTTTAATGTATAAATTTTGGGTTTTGTTGATATTTGATAGGGAAGCTGATTCTTATTTCGAATAATTGTCCACCGCTGAGGAAATCTGAGATTGAGTACTATGCCATGCTTTGTAAAGTTGGGGTGCATCATTATAATGGAAGTGAGTGTTTTTCTTTTTTCCTGTTGCTTTGCAAAGGCCTTCCTTTTATTTTTCTAATATTTGTATTATGGATTTATGGTACGGTAGAAATTGATTTTGAGTGTGGTTTCTTTCATTTCTGCTAAATTGGTCTGTTTAATGGTTGTGTGATTGTTTCCTTTGTTCAATTTTGCGTGGACTCGAATTGTTATGAGTGCGTTTTTGATGAATTACAGATATCTTAGCTTATTAGTCACTGAATAAACACTAAAATGGTTAAAATAGAAAAAAAATGGCTAGCATCATTCTTAATGTTCACTGTACATATAATAGGTAAAGTTAGTGGGATACCTACCCTTTTCATCATCTTATTGCTCCAATATGATTCGATGAATTTGAAATTAAAATTTTCTTTGGGGATTTGCATCTTATGTAATTAAGATCTTGTTTAATAATTTCTGTTGAATAGATTAGCTTTCTCTCGAATAACCTAACTCTGCAATATCCTTATTGGCTATCTAGAATTCCTTTAGTCAGTTGTTTGAGATGTTATTCCTGTAGATGGCTATGATATATATCCACTTTCCACATGTATCTAGGCTTGAGTTGAATGAATCTCGTGTTGAACTGTTAATGCTTCTCTGCATATGCTTATTATCTACTTTGGCTTAATGGGAGCTTGTCTATATTCATTTGGGTAGACTATGAGTCAAAATAGACATATTTTTTGACAAACATGGTTGATTGATCTTAGGATTCCTTTACTAGTTTTCTCCCTCCTATTAGTCAAATGTCTCGAAGCTAATCTCTCTTTAATTCTTCAGACAATAATGATCTTGGAACTGCTTGTGGCAAGTACTTCCGTGTATCCTGCTTGAGTATCATCGATCCAGGTAACACCATATTTAAATTCTGTTGAATTCTGTTCTCTACATTTGATCATTGTGGATTACTAACTGTTGCTTTCTCTGCTCTGCAGGTGATTCTGACATCATCAAGTCTCTACCTGGTGACAACTGAGTTGATCAAGTTTAGCTTCTCTCATTTGACAGTAGAATGATATTTCTTTCTTATTATATTGCTTCTCTTTGCACTCTTCCGCTTTTAATAATATTTGATACACGATGGTTCTTTCTTAATGTTGTGGATGATCTAAGCCAAAAATTGTAGCTTAAAAATACCAATTTTTGTTTAGTTAATGAAGATGCCGCTGGGTTTTCATTATAATGGTGCTTGATCCTATAAGAAATGTTGCTCGTGTAGGTACAGGTTCTCTACTTGGTTTTAACCTTTTAATTTATGCACTTACATCCCTCATTTTATTTCGTACAGTTGGATTTGGCTTGTGTTTTAGTATTAGACTCGAATGGTAAATGTCTGCGTCTGCGTGTTTTATAAGTTAGGTTCAAATCTCTTCTCTGAAATCGAAAATTTTGGTTTGGGTTAGAAAAGGAAAATCGAGGAAATGGTAAATTTTACTTGAAATGTCATTCCAATAAGAAGTAATTTATTATTATCTTATGGTTGCTGAAAGAAAAGGAAAAATTAATCTAGCTTTAACTTTTTTTTTTTTTTTTTTCATTTCGTAGGTCTATTTACAGACAGGGTTACTCGTTTGATTCAGAGGATTGGCTTTATCTCAAATTGGGCTTTGGACATGAGTTTCGAAATCTTAATTTGGTTTTAAAATTTATTTTATCTAATTGCAATTACAAAATTTATTTAAAAGTAAAAAAGTTTAGTATTTTATATTTTACGTACATTTTCATCTTTTATTTTTAATATTGTGTCATTGAGCGTCATTCATTTGTTATGTTCGGTATTATTTGTATACTTGTCATATAAGAATCATTCATTTGTTATGTCAGATATTATGTATCGACTGTAGATGATATACTTAACTAGAACTTAGGCAGTTATGAATTTATGATATTCATAAATTCAGTTAATTGTAGATAAATATATTTTATTTTTTTTATCTTTTAAATTTTAAGTTTATATTTATATTTGTTATTTATTAATTATAAATCAAGTTTAAATCGAATGAATCTAATTATTCATGAATTTAATTATTCAAAACTATATGATATTCATGAATTCAATTAATTGTGAATAAATGTATTTAATGTTTAATATAATTTAATATTAACATATTTATTAGATATTGTAAATATACATGAATCAAATCTATTAATCTCAACTATAAGTTCTCATTATAATCAAGGCTATAAAAAGCTCCCACAGTTTCACAATCAATAGTTATTCCTTAGACAAACTCTCCCTTCTACCCAACACATAGACAGGTTTGCCTTGGGAGGTTACCGATGGGCAATCTAATCTTCAAATTACATAAGCAAAATAAAAAAAAAAAAAAGTTATTTATGAGTAAATAAGCAAATAAAATTTTTTTTTTTTGGCTATAATTTTTAAACATCGAGACATTATAAAAAATTCACTTTTCATTTCTTTTTTTTTTTTATTAGTCTTGTTTTTTTTAATAGTGAATCATTATTCATTTTTGGTAAAAGAATACAAATTCAAAAATTTTGAATGACAAATATAAGTAGTTAAATGTTTCATTATTAATAATAGGCGTTAAACTGCTCTTTACTACTTGCAAAAGAGGATGTTCTTTACAGTTATTTGATAGATACAAAAAAAGGATATTCTGTATATAGGAATAAAGGTTAAATTGCATTTTAACAAAATAAGAACATTAGCAACTGTTTGACAAAATGAGAACTTTAGAGCAGTAATTTTGCTATTTAACAAAATGGGAATAGTAATGTTCATATGGTTGTGTGCTTAAGTAGTGTGATAGATAAAAATGTCAAACTTGTTTGGTTCAATCTTGTGAAATATACATTGGTTTCTAGGGTTGAGGTAATTATTAGTTGCGAAGTGAAGCCACCAACTTGAGAAAGTTTTGTTTTGTTTTTTTTCTTTTTGGTGTGAATGTAGTGAACAGGTTATTCTATTTGTTGTTGATTCATGTTGGTGCTAGTGTTTTGAATAGAGGATTTTGTTTCTTGTTTTAAGATTGAAAGGGTCAAATCCATTTAACGAGCTAGAAGGAAGTGTTTAGCAAATGTTGCAAGAACATGTTGTATAAAGAGTATGAATGGTATTGATTAGGAATATAATCAAGATTTCTTGAATAATAGCTTGACATCAAAAGAAATAATCACAAAGGATAACTCAGGCAAGGAAAATTACAATGCTTGATTATTTACGGTTTAAACATTTGAACACTCAACTTATTATCATAACATTGACATCTTAAACAAAAATTAATCAAAGAGATCAAAGTTGAGAGATTTAAATATCTCCATCAATTCCGAACACTATAAAACAAATATATTTTAAAAAATAAATCATTCAAAATTTATGGCAGCTACTATGTATGAAAAAATAGTATAATCCAATCCATAAAGCACATACCTAGAAATATATTCAATTAACATATGCCAAAAAATCAATACTTGAAATCAAAAAACTACAAAATCAAAAAAATCATACTCAAAACATAGTTGCATTGGAAAAATGAAGCAATTAAATGATGACCATTGTTTTATTTTGAGTTTTAATAAAAGCAGATAGGCAACACAATAGGATGTGATTAAAATATTATAAAGCATAGTATTTTTTTTTTTTTATCATAATGTAAGATGTTCGGACATTGGTTGGGTTCATTGTACATTGAAAGAGTGGGAGGTCATCAATTGAATCTGATTTTGAACTTGAATATTTGATTTCAATAACTTCAATAGGTTATTGCTATTAGTCATTTGCTTGTTTCTTTGTGAAAAAAAATAATGTGAATTTAATTTGTCATTTCTAATATACTTTAATATTGAAAAATAAGGAGTTACCTCTTCTCATTTGTAGGTCAACAGTTATTAGTAAAGTAAAGGTTTTGTCATAAAAATAAACATTATATGTGACATCATGGTTATATTTAAACATAAGGAAGTCACCCAATTCGATTTTGTGGACAATGATAAAGTTTTTTCATCCATTGTGAAAGAAAATATTATTATTCACTTGTATCAAATCCATTCTAAATGCATTTGACATTAGACCTTTAAGGTAAGTAGTTTTTGGAGTTTCAACATTTGTTGTGTAATGATTAACGAACATTGTTGGCAAACACCAAAAGTTTTGTTTAGTTTTATTATGTGACGAAAAAAAATAACTTCAAGTATTTTATATTGCACAAATAAAGTTGGACATGAATGTTTTAAATCAAACATAGAATGCCTTCCATACAGGCATTTACATAAGTAAAATAAAATGTTTCATTTTTCCCAATTTAGTAAGAAATATTGCAATATTATCAACACAAACATACAAAGAAAATGCAATGCAAAAAGAAATTAAATCAAGAAAAAAAAATTCATGACCACAAAATGAACAAATAAAAATAGGTTTCAAAATTTGTTTTGTAAAATCCACCTGAAAAGAAATAATAGTGTTTCTTTGGTGATCTTGAAATGTTGAAAGATAAAAGACATTGAAAACAAAATTACGCTTAAAGAGAATCATTAGAAGCATAAAGTCTAAACCTTTTGCTGATAAGTGAAACCTTGTTAGTGTTTACTAGACCTAATTTAAAAAAAAAATTATATGAAAAGCTAAATAACCTAAATTATCCAAATTCACATCTCTTTCCATCTAATCCCACTCTCTAAAACCAAAACTCGAAAACAAAAGTGAAAACTTTCTGTTACTAAATTTGTACATTTTTTGCATGTGTCTAGTCTATGGTGTTGGAAAAAAAGAGAGCTATACAATTTATAAGTTTGGGTTTGAATTTTATTCTTTGATGAAGTAAAGTTAGAGAGAAAAAAATCTATGTTGTTTGTTCTATAAGTATTATAAATTAAACAAAAAATTCAAGAAACAATTGAACAAATATAATTTGAATAGCATATATGCATGAGAATTTATACATGCATCACATTTTTGAAAAAGTTTGAAATTTTTTTTAAAAAATTACCATAGAAGCCTTTGAGAAATATGTTAGAATGATCACTTTGAATAATTCTAAGATGTTATTTTGTCTAGGCAAAGTTGTGCCATTTGGTTCGTGTTGATTAGCCATTCTACAGTTGAAGATCTTCATAGAGTGTTTGTCGTTCCTTTTTTATTTTTTTATTGTTGGGCGAATGTGAAATGTTAAGAGAGATGTTTGAGATTTTCAAAAGAGTTAAAAATTTGTGGCTTTTGTTAATCAATTGTAAAAAAATTAGTTAGTGAAGTTTCACGGTTAAGCCCAAGATCAATGGAATTCTTTTTTATTTGATTATTTTTTGAGTTTACATATACATGGGCTTAATGTTAGGAGACATGATAGTAAAGAATGGGTTGCCTGAGTATAAAATTTAGGTCACTCTTTTGTGTATTTCTTTCTTCTTTTTTACTTTTGTAAATTTTTTTGTAAAGTATTCTTTTGCTAGTCATAAGTGTTAAATTTAGATTTTTTATAGTGAATGAAAAATAATTTAAAAAAGTTGAATATAAATTTTAAAAATTTATTAAGTATATTAATCACTTTTAATGAATAGACTATAGTTAAAAAATGTATTTAAATTAATTAATATAAACTATCCGTGGATAGTGTGTACATTTTTATGAAGAATGAATAACCTAAGTATCTTTGTACAGTGTCAAATTATCATAAACCAGTAGGTGAATTGGAAATAAAATATTGTATTATTGATGTTTGTGGTGCATCATCTAATGAAGTATAGAAACAGTACTGTAAAAGAAAGGCTTAAGTTTAGACTATGCGCTTAGCCTATTTTTATAGTATTAATTTGTAATTTTTTTCTGTTCTATCAATTTTGTTCAAGTTAGATATATAGCAGGCAACATAGATATATATTAGCAAAGCTAAAAAAATTCATTCACTATCACAATAGACTAAAGAAAAGTATAATTGAGAAACCATCATCATAATAGACCAGAGAAAAGTCTAATTGGAAAACTATTTTTCATATAGTGTTATACTCAGAAGAATAACTACTTTTATTCTAGTTTTAAACTTAAGCAATAACAAAAAAAAAAAAAATTAAGTTAGAGACTAAAAAACTATTTGTATAAGAGGATGTTTTTTTTTTTTTTTAATAAATTAACGTTGTTATGGGCTACATTCATATAAGAGTATCTTGATTTTAGTTGGAGTGAAATTGAAGAGATTTGGAATAGAAACTTGTTTGATTCTT